GCAAATCTCTTTCTTAGATTGCAGGTTTGTGCAAAATTGGCAAATTTGGCCACTGGACAAAAGCTTTCTGTCCTTTGGAAAGCATATTGGTGGATTTCATTTTCATATGCTGAGTGGGAAGTGGTTCACAGGATACATTTGTAGGAGAACAGAGAACCAAGAGGGAGTTTTTGGATTGCTGATTCCAGTTCTCTGCCCCTATGAAGAACTATGCCATATAACCTTCTTCAGTAATTTATCAAGCTTCAACTTGAAGGTTGACTCTAGGTGGGTTTATGCCTCCATTTTACCTAATTAATTCCTTGTGAGGAAAGAAACCTCAGATAATGAGAGTACCTTATTTTCTTCTGTTCTGGGATGGTTATTAACAATTTCATATCCTGATAAAATAAAAGTTTGCGTTTGGGGTTTTGGAATTGGAATCCAAACTGCTAGCTCCACGTGGGCCACCCCAAAATACTGTGCAACCTGTTAGATACGAAGCAGTGAGGGAAAAAAATCTTGACTTTCTGTTAGCCCCAAAGAGCTCATCTTTGCCCCCTCCCTCTTTCACCTCCTGGTGTCCCCAAGGGCGACCCTCATTACCCTGGTGCACAGCTGGACCCAGACAAGCCCCATAGTGCCAGCTCTCAGCACCATACTCCCTAGCTATTACTTGGCTTTGGGAATACAGTGCAGAGATGCTAAAACTGGCTTTTGCCCACATGACTTATCACTGTTGCTTCCAGCAAGACCCACTGCCCCTTTTAACATTAAGTATTTGATATATATAAACCTGGCTCAAATAATTTTTTTTTTCTCTCTGGCCTTAAGTTTAACTAGGACTGAAATGCATTAGCATAAAATATATATTGCTGTGTACCATTTTTTAATCCGCCCCCCCCTTTCCCACAAGCATATAAATACACAAACATAGTCTTCAATATCACAAATATAATGAAAAAGAGCAGTAATCTGAAAGTGTCTGGCTGACAGAAGGAGAGGGCTCTCCTCTGCCTCTTTTTATGTCTCTCAGTCACCTTTCACTAGACTGTATGAGACCTCCATGTTAGGGAAAAAATATCATTTCAGAGTTTTGAGTTGAATATTGGATGTAAAAATTTTGTACATGTTCCAGTAAATAATACGAAGTGTATTCACATTCTGCACAGTGACATTATCTTCTGAATCATGTAATAGCACATAATTAGCAATGAGGGACCGTCTTTTTATGTTATGTCCTTAGGATTTCACACTTTTCAAAAATATTGAATGTCTGAAAGTCTCATGCGTTTCCTACCCATGATTCTTTCTCTGAAAAATCTGGATAGAAATTAGTAACATCTAATACACTCCTGGAAACCAAGGTCTTTTCTGAGATGACGGTGTTACTGAAGCCATATTTCTTTTTATTCATAGCAGACATATCATATCAAAAGGTATAATCTGATAGAGCCAGCACGTGGAAGTAAGCTATTTAACCTGTAGCAGGTAAACTGAAGAAATCTGCTGTTTGATCTTGAAAGGATCGAAGTGAGTCATTAAAGGCAGTAAATTCAAGCTGTAGTTTCTCTGTCTTTTTTCACATTATGAGCAGGCTTTAAAATGGATAGTTCAATGGGAGACAGGAACATTTTTCATCACTGGTCAAAGAACAAAAATTCCTGAGTTTTTCTTCATGCATCCGGAGAGCTGTAAAACTAACCAAGGACAAATATGAGGCTGCTGAAATATGAAACAATCAAAGGAAATCCCAGCCTAAATCATAATCTCCAGATGGAAAGCGTAAAAAAAAGAAAAAGTTTCACTGGATGCTCATTCTACTCTTTTTCATTCTTTTTTTTTTTTTCAGTGAACTCTGCTTACATTTGAAATAAAAAGATTTTGTGCATTCATGCAGGAGAATTCAGCATATATACCTATGTTTCCTCAAAAAGTGCCAGTAACTGTAAGCGACTGAAAAACTGAAAAGTAGTTTTCAGCAAGTTGCTTTAAAATTTGGACACGGTGTTCCATTTTTGCTTAAAGTGACAGTGGCACGACCCTTCTGTCTGGCAGTGACTGACAATAGCTAAGATCTGAGTTACATTTTTAGGGCTTGCTGATCATTCATACTCAAACATCATCACCATGAGTCATGGCCAGCTGAAAAAATGGTTTCAACTAGATTAATCACTATGCACCCAGTAAAGTATCTCTCCACTGTAAGTGTTTTGTTAAACAGAAAACATCTAGCCCATCAGAGGTTTACTGGAGAGCAAAGAAAAAGAGAAGAATCATACTGTATCAACGGAGAAAGCATAAATGCCTCAGAGAAAGCAACTGCCACCCCCAGAGCAGGCTGGCAATGGTGCTAAGTCCTCCCCCCGCAGCTGCACATGGACAAGGAAGCAGGTGACTCTTCACCTGACAGCACTACCTTGTGTACCTACAGTTTGGTTGCCCCCCATTTTTCTCATACATGATGATACCCATCACATTTATTTCCCCTGAAAGTTCTTCTCTTTCTCCAGGGTTAGGGTTTGTGCTGTTGTAGGTTCAAAGCACCTCCCCTCATTTAATGAATACAAACCTTTAAGGGCAGAATTCAGTTCCTCTTTTCAAGGAGTAAAAGACCGCTCATTTCTTTGGAATTGAATTCACATCAGCAATGTATTTAACAGCTGATCCTCTACATATCTCTGTCTCCCATTGGTCAGAAGTGACAGTATATTATACTTGCCAGTATAATGAATGGTGATGAGCATTTTTATCCATGAGGGTACCTCAAGTTATTTTCAGGAAAAGATACTTCTCAAAAGAGAAAAATGAAAGAACTAATGGGGTTACCAAGAAAAGAAATTCTTGCAATACTCAGAAAAAAAAAAAAAAAAAAAAAAAACCAGAAACAAAATTGGTCTAATATTTGAAATAATAAACTAAGACAAGTTTTATGATGTATCAACCTGCTTTAGCTTTTTGGTGATGAAGATTCCATTTTAATTATGGCACCTCAGGATTTGATACACTGTACATATTTTAGATCAGTTCTGTTGCGCAAACTTGCAGTTCTTTCTTTTTCTTGCAAGAGAAAAAAAATACTGGAAAGAGGGCTTGAAACTGATCTGAGAGCACCTCCTGCTTAGCAAGTCATTGTAAGCCCACATCACCTTGATTCATTTAAAACTTTATTTGCTGCAACTTGCTGATAATCATTACAGGTGTATGGCCCAGGTGGTGGTCCAGCTTCTCTGATCTTCTGTTGCTGACAGTTGCCCATATCAGCTGTTTTTTTCTGAGGAAAACAAGAGAACTCCTGTCTTGGAACAGCCTGTCCAGAGAGAAACTGTCATGCTTTTTCTCATTGCTGTTGACTTTCTCACAAAGCATTAAGGTTCATATTTCATACACTTGATAATATGGAAGATTTAATTATCTGTACAAGTGTCCATGTCTGAACTCAGCGGCTTTTCAACTAGATTAAGGTCAGTGTTTAATTCTGTTTTACAATGGTCATCTCAATAGATGCATTCAGTAAACTAAAATAACTAAATTTCCTCATTTTATAGTTCATAATAATTCAGGTTTTTTTATATTTCCATCTACTCTTAGAGCACAAAACTAGCCCTAGTCATAGAATTCTTTAATTTTTATATTTTTATCATCTGCTCCGGTACCTGTGTCCCAACCAAACTAAATAATCCCAGCACTTCTTATCAGGTTGTATCTTGTTCACAGACATCTGAAAATCAGATCTTTTTGATTCAGGTGCATAACTCAGTATTTGGATAAGTCATTTTAAGCACCACCTTTGAAAGCTGTCAGTTTCCCATTAACCATCAGAGTATCTTTACTCAGTATTTTTAAAAATCTGTTTCATGCAAAGAAGTCCCAAACAAAACAAAACAAGACAAAACAAAGCAAAACAAGATTGAACATTAAAATTATGCCAGATCCAAATCTTAAGATTGGAATATTCCTAAATTTTGGTGATTCCTGATATTCGTTGTGAAAAATAGATGTAGCCTCTTCTGGTTTTTTTAACAATGGCCGAAACAAAACCTCATACAACTCTTCAGAGAACAGAAGTTTGACATTCACAGCAGAATGTTTATGGACATCCATTATCTGCAATATATTTAAGAGGAAAATAGTTAAAATCAGGTCCTACAGAATTTATCACATAAATACAAAGTCATATATATTTTATTGCTCCCCATACATTCTCCATTAATTCTGGGTCTGTGTCATTAAATATCTTGACTATTGCCTTTTGTAGGGGTGTTATTATTTCTATTTGTTATATTTAGCAGCAGTACCTACAAATTCCAACAGGGAATTAACGCTGTATTGTATTAAAACTGTCCAAACAATTAGCTCAAAGCCTGTTTGTGTTCCAGGGAACTCATATTTTAGAATGGGGTGTGGAAAGGAAGAGAATTGGCAAAGGAAATTTGAAGTACACTCATTAAAATATTAATGCCTACAGTTACACTGTCAGGCCCAGCTAGTTCCTCAAACTAGCTGAGGAACAATGGCAAATACTTAACAATCCTCATACCCTAAATTAATCTACTAATGAAACACTGTTTATTAAAAGCCTCTTGACACATTTCTTCCTTATGGAAAAGTCACACCGAATACAAGTGGTTTTGAATGTTTAGGGAAGGTCTTCAACATAGAAAATCATTAAAGGAAAGAGAAAGGAATTTTCATCTCTCTATCTCTGGACATTTTGGGGTTCAAAAAGTTTTAGAGAAGGAGGAGATTTGGTATTGTTCTGAGTCAATTTGCTCTGGCTGAGGAAATGACGAGAAGGAAACTATTTCCCTGTCTCGGGAGCCATGTGGTGTTCCAAGATAAGGCAAGCACTTGCTAATTCGAGTCCACAAGCAGGAAACGTGATACATTCATTTCCTTTCAGGCGAATAACACAGTTCCCTCACAGCACAAAAGCATTGCTTCTACTGCTAAATCTCAAACGTTCAGAAACCCATTACTCCTTTGTGGACATACCATTCTACATTTGTTATTTGGATGTTATGGATAGAAACAGTACTTACTCTCCAGTCACATGGCCACCAAAGTTTTGGGGTAAGAATTTTGTTTCTTTGTCTAGAATGTCGTTAAAGTAGATGCTGAGATTCACTGGTGATTGCCTTAAAAAATACATCTAGATACTTTCAAGCCTCATGTTGGAAGCAAAAAGCAACGAATAGATTTTGTATTTCTTGCGGCGCAAAAGATTGTTTTCCAAATGTTTCTTTGACAAAGTTTTGTCATGGTTTTAAACTAATCAAGACAGCAGGAACTGCCAGGGCAGAATTGATTGTTTGGCAAAGTTCATTACTGAAGTTAATTAAAGAGGTGTCTATTGACTTCAGTATGTTTCAGATCAGGTAGACATTCTCAACCATTTAACAGATGTACCTACACGGCAGACATGATCTGTTTCATCTTCTGATGAAAAAGAAATAGCAAAAATGAAACATGTTGCAACCTTTGGAATAAACTCTTACTCCTCCAGAATGAAAAATTATTTGTAATTTGTTGTGGTGCCACATGGTCAGATTTTCCTTACTTTTTCCTCAATGTATATTTTGATTGTTATCCATTAAGACTGTTTTCTTTCACCCAAACCTGGGAATAGTTCATTAACTGAAATGTATAGAGTGTGAGGTGGAAGTATATGTTACACCGAAATTCATTCAAGGTAATTAGATTCAGTGACTTGATCCTAAAGGATTCTGTGCAACAGCTGTGGAGAACATTTCCCTCCAAAAAGCTCTATTGCTTGCTGTGTTTAGTATTAGCATGTATTAGCATTTAGCATTAGAATGAACCATATGATCTGGTTTTGTCTATTATATTGTTGCTATTGAGCAATGATCCCTCCAAGAACCTGTGCACTGTCTAAAACTAAAAAATAATATGTATTAACAAAATAGGACTTTTGTTGCATAGAAGTGCCCTGGGAAAAGAGTGGAAAATAACTATGCAAGAAGATTTAAAGATTTGTTCATTTCCTTAGCATAAGAAACAAGAATATGTTGAACACCATCCACATGTTTACTTCATTGACACACATATTTTCCTACTGGGACCCCATAAGCAACTCACTTCATTTCTGTGTCTTGGGCTAAGGAGTAGGATAACGATACTGGACGCCTTTGAGAAATACTTACAGATTAACTGAGGAAAAAGTACTGTCACTACTGTTTCAGTCTCTGTTGCTGTCTGGAGGTTGTCTGCTGGACTCTGAAGAATAACGCATTTTTGTAGTGTGGAACTACATGTAATTCTAAAATGGCTCTTTCAGAACAAAAATGAAAGTCCTTTCATCAACATGTACTTTAAGAATCCTGGTGTAAAAGGTGGTGCCCCTTGTTACTGCAGATTTGCTTTTATTCTGAGGTAAATTACTGCTTTACTGTCATGGAAACATAGACAAGAAACAGAAAAGTTATATGAAACTCTAAGGATTCATTAACCATACTGCTCAGACCATAGGTAAAGTGTTCTCCATCTTCATGAAGAGTCAAAAAAAAGTACCTAAGCAGTGAACGTTTAAATTCCACAGCATACTGCATGTGGCTGGCCCCGCTGGTGCTGCGGTTACTCTGTCGTTCCATTTAAGGTACTTTTCAAGGTGTGCCAAGACCTGGTCCTTCAATATCAAGAGCTGCATTTGACAACACAGAGTAGGACATACATGAGCTGTCTTATAGCTGAAAGGGCCAGCATCTCCTTTCACCAGCATTGCCCACCTGGCTTGCCAGGGACTGATACTGTACCCAGCCCTGATCACCTCCCATTTGCTTATGCTCTGAGAGCAGATGAACCTCACAGCTTGTTTTTTTGTGAGGAGCTTGCATGGTCCTGGGAAGGGAAGATGCTTCTTAGGTTTTCTTATTTTTCCAATTGATTTTAGAAGAGTATAACATTTCCTCTTCCTTTCCTGTAGGTATATCTTATGTGGTAGACTAGGGAGGGACACGATATAATCTGTGTCAGAAGACAATGACTGACACAAGCTCACTGTGATAGAAGCGTATTTTCTGACATCCTTGGAGATACATGACCTGAGGTAAAAATAAAACTACACATAATAGCTATAAATAAAACAGAGTTCTTTATTCAATGAGAATGCAGTACCTGAAATTGTGATTTTTCAGGATATGGCTTACAGGCTGTTTCACTGTTTTTGTAAGCCGCCCACCACATAGTGCTGTGAGTATGAATACATTACCAAGATGCAGATCCTCTTCCATGCATGTGTGACTTCTCAGCAGATCCCATGGACTCGGCCAAAGTGTAAATTTCAACATGTGTGCAAAGGTTTGCTAAGAGGGACTAACTTTGTGAGAAAAAAAGAAATGCTGTAAAAATTGTTAAAGCAATTATTCATAATGATTTTTAATCTCTTACAATTTTACAAACCATCTATTGTCTAACAGCTGGTTCCCTACTCTGGAAAATATACAGGCATCCTGTTTTCTGAAGCTGTCCATTTTCCAATGGTAACTTCACACAATAGCATCTTAAAAGTGACTCTAAGAATTTTAAAACAATGAACAAACTAAACAGTCCTCTGCTTATTTATGTGTGAGAATATATAAATCTTTTTACAACTGCTCCAGGCTAGTGGAAGTGTGCATGAATAAAGCTGTGTAGATAAAAACAAGATATATGCACCTTGATATAAGTCACGCTATGCAAATTGCCCAAGTAGTCTAAATCCTCTCTCTATATTCATGCAAAGACCTTAACAAATAATAATATAAAAAAAATAATTAGCACACTTTTTTGCAAGCTCAGAGTAGAGTTAGTGACAACCTGGAGAGTCGATAACATGCTTAGCTGTAGATCTTGCAGGAATTCTTCTTTTGAATTCAATCTTCACCATCATCATTCTGCAGTATTTTTGAAATGCTAAATTATGCAGCATAGTGGAACAGAAGAAGCAAAACAGTAGTTTTGCTGGCCTAAAATCAATTCTGCTGGAAAAAAAAAAAAAAAAAAAAAT